CAGTCTATCTTCTCAACAGGTGTCCTTCTAAGTCCCTTAAGAAGATGACACTATTTGAGGCCTACACTGGAAGGAAGCCAGGTATTGCACACTTGAAAGTGTTTGGATGCATATGTCATGTGCTCATTCCTTCTGTTTTGAGACACAAGTTGGAAGAAAATAGTCACAAATGCATTTTTGTGGGCTATGAACTGTGTGAAAAAGGCTATAGATTGTATGACCCTAAGACTAGAAAGATTATCTTGTCTACGGATGTTTATTTTGATGAAGAAGCCTCATGGAAATGGGAGAATCCTAGCAATGCAGAGTTGAGAATGCCTATGTCAGATGAAAATCAAGGTACTGCAGAAACTGAACAGAGGGTATTGGATGAACAAACTCAGTTCTTGGATACTCAAATACAAGTGGAAGAAGAAATTGCACCTCAAGGGGAGGAAATGCTTGAGAGGTCTCAAACATTTGATCACACACCTCACAAGTGGAGAAGTATTAATGACATCTTGGCACAATGCAATATGTGCATTGTGGAACCTGACAACTTTGAAGAAGCAGATTTGGATGAATCTTGGAGAAATGCAATGGAGGCTGAATTGGAGATGATTGAGAAGAACAATACATGGGAATTAGTTGATAGGCCATTTGACAAACCAGTAATTGGTGTTAAGTGGGTCTACAAGGTCAAACTGAACCTAGATGGTACTATGCAGAAGAATAAAGTTAGGCTAGTGGCTAAAGGCTACTCACAAAAGCCCGGAATTGACTACAATGAAACATTTGCCCCTGCGGCACGACTAGATACCATCAGAACCTTGATTGCCCTTGCTGCAGAAAAGGAATGGAGTTTGTATCAATTGGATGTGAAGTCTGCCTTTCTCAATGGCATTCTAAAGGAGGAAGTCTATGTTGAACAGCCTCAAGGATATGTTCAAGAGAGCAAGGAAACCAAGGTTTACAGGTTGAACAAGGCTTTATATGGACTGAAACAAGCCCCAAGGGCCTGGTATGATGAAATAGATGCCTACTTCAACACTGCAGGTTTTAAGAAGGGTTTAAGTGAAGCTACTCTCTATATCAAAACAAATGACACCTCAAGTATTATCATTGTCTCACTTTATGTAGATGACATCATATATACTGGAAGTTGTCCTAAATTGCTTGAAGGGTTTAAGCAAGATATGATGCAACACTATGAGATGACAGATTTGGGTTTGTTGCACCATTTTCTTGGCATGGGAGTGGTACAAACTGATAAGCACATTTTCATTCACCAAAAGAAATATGCTATGAAACTCCTTGAGAAGTTTGGAATGAGAGACTGCAAGTCAGTGGCAATTCCATTAGTGGTGAATGAGAAACTGTGTAAAGAAGATGGAAGTGAAGCAGCAGATGAAAGTGAATTCAGACAGATTATAGGAAGTTTGCTTTATTTGACTGCCACAAGACCAGATGTCATGTTTGCATCTAGCTTGCTTGCTAGGTTTATGCACAATCCCACAAAGAAACACATGGGAACTGCCAAAAGAGTGTTGAGATATATACAAGGCACACTAGACTTTGGAATTGAGTTTGCAAAAAGGAAAACAGCTACTCTAATGGGGTATTGTGACAGTGACTGGGCTGGGAGTGAGGATGATATGAGGAGCACCTCAGCATATGCCTTCACACTAGGCTCAGGCATGTTCTCTTGGGCCTCCATCAAGCAAGGCACAGTTGCTTTGTCTACAGCCGAAGCTGAGTATGTGAGTGCTGCAGAAGAAACTTCACAAGCTAAGTGGCTCAGATTTGTTATTGAGGACTTTGGTGAAGAACATGTAGAAGGGACTCCAATTTTATATGACAACACCTCTGCAATTGCAATGGCAAGGAATCCAGTTC